AAGGGTATGATGTGTGAGGGATCTGTCACTCTGCAGGGTCACAAATCTGCATCGGCGGGCAGGCTGGTGCACAGAGGCAGTACCCTGTGAAACAAAGCGCCTCTGTGGCCAGCCGGCCCACCATTCTCCTGGAAGCCGAACAGAGGTCTGTCTTTGTGAAAGATGGCCCTCACAGGAAGGCAACTGTGTGTTGGCAATGCTGGTGCCCAGGGCTCAAATGTCTCCATTTCATTTGTTCCCCCAAAGTGCCATTTAGTATCATTCACCAACCTGGGGAGTCACTTGGGTTTTCTGTGATTAAGGCTGCCAGTGCCTGAATTTACTGGCTTGTGCACAGCTGGGGTCTCAGGCAAGTACAAGACAGGGACAGGGAAGAGACTTGTCTTCAAGACAAGATCACGCCCTCCCTGTCATGCTGCATAGGCTCCTCCGGCGCTTTCAGGTAAGTAGACAAGTGATTTAGACTGCTTTGTGAGCTGTGGCATCAGGTGGCTCATGTTCAAATCTCAGCTCCACCTCTTTCTAGATCTCTTCTTTTCTAGGGGTGACAATAAGCCCCGGTTTCCTTGATCAAATTGTTTAGAAGGAAGAGTCCTATAGCCAAAGCTTGGATGTAATGGCAGGAAGGAGAATCATGTCCATAGCAGACACCCCACATTCAGGTATTAGAAAAAGAAGGACCCCTGGATCCACAGGTAACTGTTTGTTAAATGCCATCATTGAAGTGTTAGCGCAGAGAAGGGGCCAGGCACTAAAGAAAGCATCGTGAAAGGATTCACAGGATAGGAGCCAGGAGGGAATTTGATTAGAAAGACAAGTGGATAGCTCCTAGTATATAAAACAAGAGAGGCCATGGCCTGATCACGGCTGTCTTTACCGGCTGTGGTCCAGCTACTCCACAGATTAACACAGCCAACAGATTCGCTTCTAGGTCTCAAAGGCGTTGGCCTTGGGATGCAGCCCCATCCACCTCTTTGACATCCCTCTTAAATTTTGCTAGTCCCTCTGTTAACTTCGAATCTTATCTCCATCTATTTTTCAAACACCAAACAAGTCAATCATTCAAACACAAAAGATCCAACAGACCATACCATGAAGAGTGTCTCCCATATTTGTCCCAAGTCCTTGGCCCCAGAAGCCAACAACATGTTACCAATTTGGGGGCATTTATGAAATAATCTACACATGTATAAGCATTTGTTTTACTTGTCAGAATAGCATGTGGGACACTGTCTGCCTCTATTTATTTATTTATTTATTTATTTATTTCCAGGGGAGACTGCTCTCTTATTTCATTTAATTTTCTTGGGAAATTCCCCTCTTATTTATTTGAGACAGGATTTCCTTATGTAGCCCCAGATGGCCTGGTGCTCTGTAGATCAGGCTAGCTTAGAATTTAGCAATCCCTCAACCTCTGTCTCTTGATTACAGCCATGCACCATCATCCTCTTTTTAAAATGACTGATACCTACATAGGTTTTGGTACTTTAGATACTGTGGAATTATATCATGAGATTGTGTCAATGTAAGTGTCTGAAAAGGTCAAGCTTTCCATGGATTCTAGACTAACAGCCATTAACATTTCGGTAAGCACCTTTGCTCTAGAATCCCAGGTCTTACTTTCCCAAAAGCCCTGTGATTTATCCAAACAGATGTATGGAGTTAACACCATACAGCCTTCGCTGCACGTTAGCACCTAGCCACTCCAGCTGGCTTGGAAGAGAATTCCCAGATGGGCCAGGTGACAGAAAAATGGTTTAAAATATTCTGTAACAAGCACACAGAGTCAATATTAGTTTTAGGTTGAACCTGATTTGCTAAATCCTTCATTGTAGTTCAATTTTTTTTTTTTAAGATTTTTGTTCTCAAGTGACCTATTTTAAGTACAAAACAATTTTCGAAAACAGTTGGGCTGGACAACAGTAGAGCAACTTTGTTATGTGATCTAACCTGATCTACACTAACACTGAACATACCAAGGAACCAAGAACTCAGCTCCCTGGAGAAAGGCACTGCCCATCCAAATGCCTGGGTAGTGATGAGGTCAGTCAGGTACTGACACCAAGCAGGCTGCTCCTCTGGGTCTCAAGTTCATGCTGTAAGATGTAGAAGAGCACCTGAATGGGACCACTATTGATGTGGCAAGTCAAAACAGAATTCTGAGCTGCCTTCCACGCTCTTCTCCTGGCTAGAGCTATGGGACAACTTCCGAGGTACACTGGCACTCAGCTCTTAGAAAGCCAGGGGATCTGTACTGAAAGGGTGGAGGAGGAGCTGGACTCCGGCCCCCTTCATCAGTTCAGTGGGTCTGAGAGCTGTGGGAGTCAGGTTTGCAACTCATGGTTGCATCTAAGAAGTTCAAGTTCAAGGACTGTCCAAGAAAGTTGCAAAAGTATCTCATAGAGTCTTGAGTAAAGTTTGCGATTTTGTTCTGAGACCCATTCACAGTTATTCTGGGCATAGTTATTATAGGCACTTCCTAGCTCAGGGTCATGGGATGATGTCCATCACCTAATTCTGGAATCAGTTATCACTTCCCATGTCTGTTTAGAGGACAATTGCAAAATGACTAAGGACTTTCCATGGTGATCTTAACCAATAGGCCCCCAATGCCATGAATTCTGAGGCCTACAGCACAACTCAGGGCAAGAATAGGTTGGCCAACTGTCTGAGGTCATATGGGGTCTGGGGAACCCAGGAGTTGACCCAGTCCTCTGGCTCCCAAGTGTCATTCTTCAGATGTGCTGGGTCAGCTTGCACAGAGGCCTGTCAGCCCAGCAACTATGCGGGCCTGAGCGTCACTCCCTGGAGTGAATGAAACTGTGAGGCACAGGGAAAATATAACCACTTCAACCTCAGAGACCATTTCTGAGTGGACTAGTAAGTCACAAAGCAATAGAACACCCTCTCTTGAGTGGCTCAAGCCCCCTTAAAGGTAACTTCACAGGGAGAGTTAACCTCATCTTTAATGCGTGACTCAAATACTTTACCAGTGAGGACTGACTGTCTTTTAAGGCACGCAGCTTTAGGACTGCCACAAGAATGATGGCACAGGGACATTAGGGATCAGTGCCTAGGTAGAACTTGTGACCTCCATGAAGTTTGCGGCCACAAACTAATCCTGATTAACTTCCCTGCGCCTCAGAGGCCTGGTACAAGGCCAGTAGGCCTGGTTTCCACTGTGGGTTTTTCCTGAGTTCCTGTCCACAGAGCCCGACACAGCAGCATCCTTCCATGGTCTATTTCTCAGTCACCAGAACTTATCACTAGAACGCTCTGTGACTAAGTAGTTAACTCACACTCTGACCATCTGGGATCAAATATCTAACCCACACTCAACCAAGGCCATTCTTATGGCACGTTGTGTCTATGAGGCAGGAGCTGGGTGACATCAGTAAGCTCTGACTCACTTCCCAGTCTGTCAAGACTTTAGTCAGTCAGTCCCGTCCATTAAGACAAAGCTGCTCCATACACACTTATCCTCCCTGGCAGAAAAGGAGCAAAGTAGATTCTAAATGTTTCTTCTGCACGTTTATGTCATGGCCAAAGAATGCTAGGATTCTTATTCATCCAGCATCGGGGAGCTTGCAAGGCTTAGAGAATGTTAAAAAGCCAAGAAATGTCACCCATCGAAACCAGTTATCATTAACAGCCTGAGCCAGATCCCAGGATGAGTGTCAGTAACAGCATCCCTCGGTTTATGTGATCTTGGAAAAGACCTCACTGGGCCTTTAAAGCACACGTAAACGGGAACAGATGGACTCTTCCTCAGAGGCTTGCTGTGATGACCATCAGATGCAGTTAGCGCATGGTGAGAGGAGCCGGCCATTTCCTCCCTCCCCTTGCTGGCCTTTAAGCAAGGCAGGCTGGCATGGTGAGGGAAGGCAGGTTTAATGTGCAGACTACACATCACAAAGTCCCAAAGGAGCAAGTATAATCTCGGGCCTCAACCCACCAGGTCCTTTGCATGCTGTTGTTTGGCTCGGGCAGGTCTGAGTTGACCCCTTTCCAGTGACTAGTGGAGACAGTTTGTAAGGCTTTTACTTCAATACCTGTATGTTCGGTGTGGGATCCAAGTTAACTATCACCTCAAAGACCTCAGTTTACTGACAACACTCAGTGAGACCACCTGAATGGCACAAGGCTTGAAGTTAGTCCAATTAGAGTTCCATGGACAATCCAAGTGGCAAGTATCCTTGAAAGCTGAGGACGGAGAGCACGTTTCAGTTTCTCTGTGTCTCGTGTTAGTGACTGCTTCCTTGATGAATGGAGAAGAAAACACTTCCTATTGAAGTTGAGAATGAAGCAACCTTTGTTTATTTTTTGAAAGATAAATGCATCTGATCCGCACTATTCATAACATTCTGAGGTAAACAATATCTAACATTTCTCATCTAAAAATAAATAATACCACGTTGGACTTACTAGGTTAACCAAAGACAAAGTTGGAAATGAGGGAAGTGCATAATGTCTGTGGCATTAAAGGCTCAGATAAGGTATTTGATTCTGAGAAAATTAAAACCCATGGGGATGGAAATGCCTAGCAAGGAACTCAGTAGAGACTGACATGTAAAGGTTTACATATAAATGTTTACGTGCTTGATTTGACAAACTGAAATGTTTTTCAGGTCCTTAGTTATGCAAGACATATTAACAAAATGTAAGACAATTAAAAACCAGCATTTGAGAGTCTGCTGTATTATTAGGAATAAACACAAGACCATAATAGTAGCAGGGAAGCCTGGGAAAATCTAGTCACTACACTGTTCTAGCCAAAGTGCTTTGATTTGCTTCACTTGTGTGAACTGGGCCTTCAGACACAACCGCCTAGAAAACTATGCATGGCTGTACAACCAGTCTCGCTGCACCATGGCTACAGCCCATAAACAACTCACTGCCGGTAGTTAAAATAGTAAAACCAGCTCCAGGGCGCACACCCTTGTGCTCTACACAATTACATATCAGAATTTCACACTCGAGAAGTAAAGACAAATGATGGCTCGAAGGGCATGATAGTTTATTTAAAAAACGAAAACAACAAACAAAACAAAACAACAACAAAAAAGGTACCACACTGATCATGATGACCAGCAGACACATCATGGCTTTTCTCTTGGGTATTAACATTGCAGTATTTTTAGATACTGAAATGTTTCAATAGGACCAAGAACGTTAGAGAATAAGAATCCTGGATGAAAATGGACACTAATAACTCCTGTGCTTTAACCCACAGAATCCATTTAAAGTCCCATGAGTCAGTGGCATTATGCTATGTGGTTAGGACAGACAAAAGTTCTCTTAGAAGGAGGAGGCAGCATGAACTTACACTTCCTTTAATCTTTAGTTTTTATCATTTAAGCTATGTCCACCCTGACTAAAGCACAACCATACAAGACACCTCAGGTAATTTCCTTGCTACTATTGCACAAGTTTAGTAATTTACTTAAAAAAAAAAAAATCAAACCACCATCAAAACAGAAAGGCAAAAAATGTGACTTTCAAATCATTTGAAAAGCAGAGAACTTGCTTGTCCAGTACCAACTCAAACTTAAATTAAATGCTATCGTTATAACCGCCAAACTTCTGCAATAAAATTAATTTTTAAATACATATGGGCTTTCTTTATCTAACTGTACTTTGCAATCAACAAGAGGAAGTTGTTTTTTAAAAGAACACGGCTTCTGGCGACGGCCCCACGCGCCTGTAGGAAAGACAACGCCACGTGATGCCAAGTCCGGCTCTAAGTTCTGAAGTGTAAGAATTTGACCAGAGATCAAAATTATCATAATCTGTTCTTAATAACTCAAACCATATGTGATTACTTCGTAGAGAATAAATGCGCTGTTGAGTAATTATCCCAGTAGCCTTTCCTTTCTTGACCTTTCTGCAAGCTGACCCTTTCATGTTAATAGCTCACCCCTTGGAGATTGGTCTCTGTACCCCATGTTGACATTTCAGTACCAGGGATTCTGGGGTAGCGTTAAGTGTAGTTCACAGGGACAGTAGATATGGGTGCTTCAACCTTCAGTGACAGCTTTTACATCTGTAAACTCAAGAATCACATTATTTAGCTCAGAAACTACAAAATACATTGAGATTTGGGCACTTCAAGCCAGAATCTCCTTGTGCTTTTTAAAACGAAGTTGCTTTTAAATTTTTTTTTTTTTTTTTTGGTATTTATCAGTCATTTGTAGTTCCCTTATAATAATAAAAGACTATATTTAAAATAATTTTTAAGGTTAAATGTTCTGAGGGGGGCTTTATCAATATTTAGTTTTTAAAAACACAGTATAAATCAGTATTTTTTTTTCTTCAGTACTGGAATAGGAGAAATTATTTCTGGTCCCTCCTTAAATCAACTAACACGTCTCATCGCGTAGAACACTGAAATTTACAGACATCCCTGAAATTTTTTGATTAAGTAAACGAGTGAATCACAGTGGAGTCTCATTCAGTTAACAGTGTAGATCCATTTAAAAACAAAACAAAAAGCTGAACATTAAAAGAAAATTTCAAGATTAAAAAAAAAAAAAAGACAGAAGGAAGCCCTCCCAAGAACTAAGAGCGGGTGTGCTGTCTGTCACTGTTTCTATACTTTATCTCCAACTGATCGGATTCCTCCTTCTCCATGCGCTCAGGGCATCTGCTGAAATCCCCATGCCCAGTGCGCGGGACCCTTGAGTCCAGAGGCCATGCTATGACAGGTGTGAGAGGGCACGGGACACTGCCTCTCTCCCTATGAGACTTCACATCCAAAGACAGCATCGCGTCTCACTCCTCTGTGACTGCCGGCATCTTACCGGACGATGCTTCCTGGGCAAAGTGATGGCCACGGAGTCTCCCGCCCGCCCGCCCCGAGAAACAGGAGGTTTTCAACAGTTTGTCACCAACGTGCCGGCCTGTCACTCTCCATCAGAAAAGTGGGGGCTTAAACAGGGGTGGGACAGAAATGAAAACAACCAGTCTAAAGGCACAAAGTCGCATAGCTGCTCTAGTTGGAGTTTGTAAACAGAGAATAGGTTGAATTTAGGTAATCTCGATCTATGAGAATAAAAAGGCATCCACAGCAGGCTTTTGTCCAGCCAGCTTCTTTGAGACTCTTCATGGGTTTTGAGGTCTACAAAGTATACACTGATATACCCATACTTCAGAAAGCAATAAGGCAAATAGTATAATCATTATCCAAAAGTTACAATGGTAGTGTAGGCATACATAGTATAATTTAGTTACAAAGTGTGGTACTGTTTCTGCTACATAGCCACATTAACTGTTTCTTTCCTACGTAATTATATATCCAGCTGGGTTTCAGTGGAACACAAATCCACCCTTGTACCACCACCTAGAGTTGGCAACAGCTCTTTTGATTCCGCTGCAGAAACTATCCTTGGACTGGAAACAAGGGCAAAGTCCTGGGTCCAGCCTCTAGACGCTGTCGTATTTGTGAAGAGCTTCTTCCAACTTCTGGGTCACTTTTTGGAAAAATATTATTTGTTGTTGTAAAAAATGCTGCATCTGTGATTTAAAGTCTCTCACTCGAATCTGATGGAAGTGATGAATCTCGGCCAACGTGGCGAAAGAAATGGTGTTACAGCGGTCTTGGATGCCGTCAGCTTTTTGGACTTCCATCTTGCCCTCTTCCACATGTCGTCTACTCTCCTTCACTTTGGTAAGAGCTCCTGCAGTCAAAGAGAGCAATAATTAAATACAGGGATGCACACGAATCCCAGTGACATCTAAGTATCACACAGGAACTTAGGGCCTGTCGGTACTTGTCGGAACTATTTCAACATCCTTTGGAATAAAAGCTGTGACTGTAAAGACCAATTTAAAAAGCAGCTATACCGCGGCTCCAACTCCACTTTTCCAACCAATGCCTTCCACACTGAGCAAGCCTCCGTAGTACTTCTTGAGATGCTATACCTAACAAAAAGGTGTGACAAGTTGTTCGTTTACAGATAAACCGAGAACCTGCAGTTTTCATGTTTACAATGTATGAGACCACAACCCTCATGCCAAACCACACCTTAGAAAGGAGGAAATCCCCTTTCCTGAGAAAAAGCTCACCAATGAGTTACTCTGTGGAGTCAGAACCCGTCCCTGAAGTATGTCAGTACCAACTCAAGCTGGCTCTGGAAATCAAGGCTCAATGGGGGAGGGGCTGGGTAGTGTTGCCAGGTTACAGTGAGGCTGTAGGGCACCCAAGCCCGTGCCGGGTTCACTCAGAGACCGTGCCTGACAAGAGGGTGACATCCGTATGTGCTTAGTCTGACAGCACCTTCTCCTGGAGACCACACATGGGACACCAGCATCTCCAAGGATTAGAATGTTACATCGTCTCCAGATTACTGGGGCAGTGGGTTTTCTGTTTGCTCTGATGATTGCTTCAGAAGGTCAAAAGAACCACAGCTTTTTATGTAAAAATTTCTCCAGAGTGCTGCAGGGTGGGGGGTGTGAGATCAGTTATTTTGGCAGGTGGGTGGATTCTCCCCCAGAAACACAGGCCACACAGAAGGCTGGGGAGACAGGAAATGACGGTATCCATTGGTTCCCAGGGTTAAATAATGGCGACGTTCACATGGCCTGGACACGTTTTAGCAGCTTAAGAATGGAAATGGTCAAAAGCATCTAGAAAGTATGCTGCTAAAGCACTCTAAGAGGCCGAGACTACAGAGCACAGGAGCCAGGAGTGGGAGCCAGCAACCTGTGACTGTGACACCTGGGGAGAAAGGCAGCCTATTCAGAGTTAGGGAGCTTGCTTTTACCCTAGGAGAGCATCCCTGTTACTTAAGTCCTTCAAATCTGCAAATTAACAAAGCAAACTAGTATTAAACAAAGATTAAACAGTGTGCTTTTCAAAAAATGCTATGTTAAAAATATTTGTGGAACAAAACCCAGGACCTCACATGTACAAGGCAAATGATCCACCACTGAGCTCCTGTGTGCCTCACCCCGCCTCACCCCCCACTTCAGCACTATACAAAGATGGGAAATGAAAAAAAAACCACCAACAGCAAATTTTATGCAGAGAAATGCATGTCTGTGGAGGAATGCACATACCCACATGTTTTTTATGTATTCATTCTAAATGAGATCTTTCACTGAAATGGGCAGAGTCCCAGAGCAGCAAGGCATGGCGCGGCAGGGGCAGACATCCATGCCTGAATCATCTGGCCCTGCCATGGGCATCATTCCCCCCTCCCACTGAGAGAAGGATGCTCTGCTGGGCAGAGAGGCAGAGAGGTCCCTGAGGCAACACATGGCTTCAAGACTACCCCTGCCCTGCTAAGGGAAGTATCAGGCTTTCGACATTTCTTCCAGTCCGCAGTACCAGCAAAGTACTAATATTTGACTGCTCCATATTATTTTTTATTTTGTTTTTAGAGACTGGTTCTCACTGTAAACTCCTAGCCAGCTTGGAACTCCCTTTGTAGACTTGGGGAGGGGCGAGTGTGAACTCACAGAGATAGGTTTGCCTCTGCCTCCTGAGTATTGGAATTAAACATATACATGTTGCCTGGCCCTGCCTGCTCTAATATTAAAAAGGTTGTATCCACTCACGTGCCTTTTGTGACACAGTGTCTTAGTTATTTTTGTACAGGCTTCCAACTGACACAGAGAAAGACCAGAACACTGAGAGGCAACATTCTAGAAAAAAATATTTCAAGAAACAACTAAAGATATAAAAATCCATGTTTTAAAATGGCAGAGAGAGAACAGAGGGAGGTCTTGGCGATTTGACTGTTTTTTCATTCAATTTCAATCTAAGGTACCTCTGAAAGCCACAGTCCAGGGTTCAAACACAAGGGACAAGCTCTACCGCTGGCCATAGTGTCTGTACAGTGGCCCGGGTCTGTACAGTGCATGTCCTCCTGCTCAGGTGCTGATGCAGTATACAACGGTTGCTGTCTCACGGTAATGTTCTTCTGGCTCTTCAGCGGTGAAAGACTGAGTCACGGCCCAGGATGCATGAGCGCCCCCTAAGCTGAAGTCTAGGGAATTTGGGGCAGTTAGAGGCTTCCACATTTGAGTGTTCAAGGGGCCAAGGAAAAATTCAAGACCGAGTTTTCTCCCACATGTAACTCTACTAAGTAGTAACGGGGTTGTTATATTTACAGCCTGTATAAGGGCTTTAGTTCACTTAAGGACTACTGATGGAGAGCCTAACATGCTTAATGTGTTGGCTTGGTGGAACAGGTAGAATCAACCGTATAGTCTAACCCCCACCCTCTTGAGCTCACCAGGAAGCCATGTGGCAAGTGCACTCAGCCTCGAAGTGCAGAATTCTGCACGGGAGTTGGATGTGCCTGCCCAAAGGTAACACGGATTACGTCATGACAGAAAAGTCTGCAAGGGCCAGCTAGAGGCTATGTGCTGTGCCAAGGGTAGTGGGGGTATAAGAAGGGAACAGATTGGAAGTAAACGGTCACTGTCAAAACCAGTCCTGATACATGCTACGCACTGTGCGCACAGCCTCTAACCTTGCCACAACTTACAGCAGATACTACCCCTACCTGAAGAACAGAGAAATTAGAGTTGCTGGCCATGTGATCCTGCGTCACCAGGTGACCCTGGTGAGGCGGAGGTGGGATCTGAATGAGCAACTGATTTCAAAGCAAACACAAGTATGCAGAAAAGGAACAGGTGCCTGAACGGGCAAGAAAAGTGGGCTTGGGGTGCCAGTCCTGTGGCAGGTTGGCCACTGCTTCCCTCCTGGCCACAGACTGCTGTGGGGGAGGGGAGAGGAAGGGAGGAAGGGAGAGACTATGAAGTCTGTATGTGAGTGTGGCGTACATATACGGTAAATGCACACATGTGCAGATTCCGGGAGGATGTGGAGGTGCCCTGTTCTATCATTCTCCACCTTACTGTAACAGGATTAGCTCACAGAACTTGGAGCAAGGCGAGAGGCTAACAAGCCCAGTGACCCTCCTGTCTCCTCTCCTCCCAAACTACTGGGATTACCACCAGGTGAAGCCATACCCAGCTTTGTGAGTGGATTACCACCAGGTGAAGCCATACCCAGCTTTGTGAGTGGATTACCATCAGGTGAAGCCATACCCAGCTTTGTGAGTGGATTACCACCAGGTGAAGCCATACCCAGCTTTGTGAGTGGATTACCATCAGGTGAAGCCATACCCAGCTTTGTGAGTGGATTACCATCAGGTGAAGCCATACCCAGCTTTGTGAGTGGATTACCCTCAGGTGAAGCCATACCCAGCTTTGTGAGTGGATTACCATCAGGTGAAGCCATACCCAGCTTTGTGAGTGGATTACCCTCAGGTGAAGCCATACCCAGTTTTGTGAGTGGATTACCATCAGGTGAAGCCATACCCAGCTTTGTGACTGGATGCTGAGATCCAAACTCAGCATCCTCATGCTTACTGGGCAAGCACTCTTACACAAAGAACCATCCCCCCACCCCCTGGCTTTTGTTTTGCCATGTAATTCAAAAGGCATTCTGAATGTGAAAAAGAAACTATTTGTTTATGTTTGAAAATTTTCCTTAGACTAACCTAATTCAATTTACTAACCGAATCTGTAAAACTTTTTGTACTTAAAGACTTATGACGTTCTTATCTCAAATACTGAAAAAATAAACACTGCAGTATTTGAAAATCTAAAACAAACTCAGGCTAGAGGGAGTTCTGTGTTCTTGTTTTTCCTTTTCTTCTTTGTCTCCATCTACTTGGATACCATGGAAGACGGCATCCACTGTCAGTTCCAACTCAAAATATTAACACATAGCTGCTGTAGGAATGTATGTTTATCTGACGGGTAAACTGGAACATTCTGGCAAAAAAAAAACCACATCACTATTGTGAATTCAAGAGGACGGGACAGAGCCTTGGAAGATGAATGCCAAGACTTTGAGTGTGACCCACTTAACGAAATTCAAGTTTGCTGCCACAGCACGTCAAGACTGCAAGGCAGAGATGAGCAGGAGGTGTGTCTATGAAAATTGAGTCTCCTGTGCAAGGGCTCAAATCCTTTCCTGAGGGGTGACAAAGCACACACGCCTGATACATTGAGAACATATAGACAGTACGTGATGGCATTAAATGGCATACTGTGAGCGCGCAAACAGAAAGACTAGTGGGGGCCATGTGCAGTCAAGGGGTGACGCCTCCACCACGGTGGCTGGGGCAGGATTGTGAATTCCAGGCCACCTGGGATACACAGTAAGACCCTGTCTCAAAGTGCACCACCCTGTCACTCACGATGCAGAGCAAATCTTTTCACATGACCTCTTTTAAATGAGATACAGGTAACTTGGTTTCTCCCAGAACTACTTTTAAAAGAAAGCAAGATGATTAAAAACAAAACAAGCTGACAACGGTAAATCGAAAAACTAAATGAAGGAAAACCACCAGCACTCTACACACATCCTCTGCGCAGGGCCAGCAGCCAGGCTCCGCCTACAAAGCTCATAACCCTAACTTCAGGGGCCTTCCACATCCGATGCAACAAAAAAGTTTCTTTTTCATAAAAACTAAACTTTTCTTCTTTGCACAAGAAAGGCATTAAATTTTTTTATTTTGCAACCTCTATGAATAAACAGAGAACTGGTGTGTTTTCCATCCTAGGAAGACAATTAATTATTACAAAAGCTAATTTTCTATCTCAGACTGGGAATGAATAGAACCCCAACAGATTTCAACAACCAAAGCCACATGGG